GTTTCCTAGACTTCAAGATAGACTGGAATCCACAGAAGTGTGAAACAGATTATAGAGAGCAGTGTAGGTGTATCACCTGGTGAGAAATTTAGGTTTTGGGGTTTTTAGTATGCTGTGGATGGAAGCAAGATGGAGGGCACAGGGTGTTGTCCTGGGTTTCTTCTTCATGTTTCTTCTTCCTTCTTCTCCATGGGTTTGGGTGGCATTTTGTAATTGGGCAGAAGAGTCTGCATTGCAGCTCTTTGGGATCAATTATTAGGTTAAAAGGGGAAATAATCTAGGTGTCAGTTCTTAATTGGATAGTTTAGTCTTAAAAGACCTTGTAACAAAAGATTGTTGGCCATTTTATGCCTTCTCATGAAAAGCTGCCAAACTCGCAGTATTGAGACTGTTTTACTGATAAGAAATAATAAACACTTAAATCCAAACACAAATTACTGTCTCAAGTGCCTTCAATCCAGATCCAGAAAAACTGATGAGTGGTATACCCACAAAAGACAAATCTTATAAAGCAGAAATATAAGAATAAACTTCCAGCTTTTTTTATTAATAATTTTTAAGTCAGGAGCTACTGCTGAGTCACTGTGACACATTTTTGCAGGTAAAAATGCAGCATGAATGGGGTACAATGCACATGTAGAGTCGCAAGTTTTTTGGTCCAAATGCTTTTTATTCATCACATGATATTTTCAGAGTTCAGAGGAACTCACATAAGTATCATGCACACAATTCAGTCTCCTCAAATTTGTTCTATTTTAAATGCAGTAAACTTTACAGTGAATTTTTCATACTTTCACATAGAGAGGTAGACATAGTTTTGTTTTGTCAACTAGGAAAAGGTACAGTTGTGTCCCTGTTCTCAGGCGTTATTACTCAAAGCACAGAAGGAAGCACATGACTGTGCACTGACCTTCATCTGTTCCCAAATTATGCCTTTTAAAAGCCTTGAATCTGTTTAAGGGGAGCTGCTGAAACCTGAAACGAATGTGGTCTATTGCTTTATAAAGTAGATGAATGTAGAACTTAAGTATTACATTTCAGGCTCTTACTGTACTATATATAGCAAAATTAGGATGAGGGAGAATATAACTGTAACCTGAGTCTGGTTTTAGAGAATATTTTTTTGTTACAGGTATCGATGGTTACTCTGTAAAATTTAGTATGTTTCTATTTCTAACATAAAATCACCACAAAGTTGCAGAAGGAAAATGTTCTCCTGATAAAGATTTTAATTTTTAAAAGCAGAGTCCTTAAAAAAATTACCAGCCCACAAATTGCTAACCAGTTCTGACAGACCCAAGCCTAAAAAAAATCTTGAAATAAACCTTGTATCTAAATTTTCATTGCTTGCACTCTGCCTGATTTTCATCAGGATATGTTTAATAATGACCAAACACATCACCTTGAGTATTAAAGTGAAAATTACACTTAATTAGAAAAGTAAGCAGTGCATAACTGCAGAAAACATCTTTTGCTGTGTGCCTGACACAACAGGCCAAAATTATTTAACTCTTAGGAGCAACACCTCAATAAACTTGTTCAATAATTACAGTGGAGAAGAGGTAATCAAGGATTTTTACTTCATTCATTTTGAGTAAACTTCATTGTTGTTTCTAATGACATTGTAAAACCTTCCAATGAGCTCTGACAATGTTCATCTGTGTGTTTCAAATACATATTAACTCAAATCTAACTCCACAGGACAAGAACAATAGTAAGCTCATTATTTTCCAATAGAAAAAAATGGCTTGTGAATTGACAGATTTCTTGACAAGTTTACAAATTTTTGACAGTTTTCAGATGGGAATTGTAACACTCATTAAACATTTAATATGCCTGTAAAATCATAGACACCTTCAGGATGTAAGTGACTTCTGGAAATCATCTGATCCAATCTCCTGTTTGTTAAAAGTCACTCTAAGTTAGGCCTGACTTCTCAGATCCTTGTCCAGTCAAGGTTTGGATTTCTCTAAAGATGGAGACTCTGGGCAAAGCATTCCAGGACCAAACTACTGTCCATAGGTATTGTCCTTGTGTTGTGGATCTTCCTCCTACTAGAATTTAAACCTAAATATGGTAAGAAATGCTGCTTCTTTTGTCTATGCTGACACACAGTTGACTTCTGACAGCACAGGTTCTGAAGGTTTGCCTTAACACAGTTTATTTTGTGACCAGTAATAAATACTATTTTTGTCTTTTAAGTGGCGGTGAGGGATTGGGAATAAGCAATTATTTGTTCAACATGAATTACAGCAGTGACATCAGGATGGATGTCTAGTTCTGAATGATCTTGATCTTAAGAGAGCTCATGAACTACATACAGTAGACTCATGCCCAGATGTGCAATAACTAAAGGAAAGAAAAGAAATAAAAGGAAAAACCAGAAAAGTAATACCAATTCTGCTATTTTACCTTGTGCTAGAGTTACACCACCAGACTACATACGGTTAAATGATCTTGCCCTACTGCAACATATAGTGAGATTTTAAAAGATGACTCACATCTAAGGCAAATGAAGTGACTACTGCAGCCCTTGTGCTTTTGTCTTTGTACAATTTAATCAGCTGTTCATCTGAACAGTTGGAAAGGATTCATTTATACAACAATAACTTCATCTCTCTTGGTAAATATTTTCTTGTATCTTCTGATACAAATCTATTAAATACTGGCTTACATTGACCTAATTGGAAATGAGACAGAACACTGGGGTCCCAAAGGAACCCAGCACACAAGCTCTCATTTCACTACCATGCAGCAAGGAAGTCTGTCTTAAGCATGTTTAACTTGTGCTGCTGAAAGAGGATGACAAATAAAGACATGGGTTAGGCACAATGTCTGGTTTTATAGGATTACACAGTTGTTTTTTTAATTCATCATCACTAAATTTGTAATACATATAAATTCTATGTAAATATATAATATATACATGTGTTCTTTACAGATCTTTACAGAACATGCTCAGTTCAGGTAAACAGCCCTATTACAGATACTTGGAGCATTTAACAGTCTTACAGCACTTCTGTAAGTTGTAAACTATGAATACTTATGAAAAAGTATTATGGAAAAGGGATCTTAATTCTGGAAAACATCTACAATCTTCTTCAAGCAGACATACACACCAGGAAATGCTGACCAACAGAACTGTGTCCCAGAAACCTCTCCTCTTCAATATTTATCTTTCATTGACAGTAATGAACCTGTAAGAGCTCTCTCAGCATGAAGTTCTCTATAATCTTCAGGAACTAGTTTGCATGACTTTTCCATATAATAAGCATCACAGCTATTAAAATACATCAAAATGTAAAGCTTTAAAGTATTATAAGGGATTTTGAATCTGACTAATGTATTGGGTAATAACTGCCTTCCTATTCACAAAAACAAATTTATGTAAACCCATGGATTTCCTATGCAGGAAGTTCACATTACTACCTTTGGTGTCAGAAGCTGCCATGAATTTCCTTGTGAAAGAGTGTTAGACATTCTGCAGTTCCACAGTAGTCACTAATAAGTTGGGGTGGCAGCTGTTGTGCATCTGAAGCTAACAAATGTTATGTGACCAGAGATGACTGGCATGACATGTGGCTGTAGCCTTTTTATAAAGTTATGTTCTCAACTATTTTAAAAATGTCCACAAAAGTCCTTCAGAAATACTGTTCCCAAGAAGTTCATGGAAAACTGATCCTTTAATACTTACCCCACTCAGTTAGCTACATATATTCACACATTATCACACAGTGATAAACTAAAGTTTAAACAAAAATAGTCATATAAATTCATCTGGAAGTCATGTTCTCAGCACTGTGACTTGAGGCTGGATTCACTTGCTTGAATGGGAATATATTAAATTTCCAGCAATCAATTATCATTTCAGCCTTTGTATCTGCCATCATAAATTCAGGCACATGCCCATATGGACAGACAAAGTGCAAAGACAGAACTGTCTTCCAGGCAAATTCCAAAAGCAAGTGTGAAGTTCAGTATTGAAATATCACTCCCTTTTCTGTCCTCATTCTCAAGCACTACAGGCATTTTTAATCCAACTAAGACTTCCCCAATTCTCCTGAAAATTTTACCTTCATAATCTTTATATAGATAAAAACTGCTGCTAGAATTTTATATCCCTCCCAGGCACCCACATGCATATAAAGACTCACATCACAAAAAGAATCATGTAAGGACTTAGAGGGTTTCAACAGAGAAGAATTTCCCAAAATGCAACTGATTTTAGTAATTTAATGCACACAAAAAACACATCTCCTGATGTGGCTCTGGTTATGTCACAATTTATTTTAGTGTTTTGCTACATTTTTTACACTTAATAGATTTAGAAAAGCTTTTTCTTGGAAAAAGTTGTTACCCTTGCTTTTTATTTTTATCTTCTAATGCTTGAATTTTCAGCAAACAGATTAAATATTAATACTTTTTGAAAGACATATATAAATATTTTAGTTTTTAATAACACTGAGACTTGGTCTGTTTTATATACACCTTATTTTTTATAATGTTGTATGAACTGATCTTTGAAGTCAGAAGTTAATTGCTTTTCTTCTCTGATCAGAGAAATACATTTGGAAAGACAGAATAAACTCCTTCCTTCAGGTAATAAATTCTCACTCAAAAAAGAGAATTTCATACAATCCAAACTTTCAGTTCCATCTTCTATGTAATCATTAAAATGTACAATAATGTGTTAATAATGTAATGTGTAAATAATGTGCACAACAATGTGTTAATGCACAATTATGTGTTAAAATTCTAATACTGGAACAGTCAAGAAAAGACAAAACTTACTAAAAACATAATAAACCACAAGGAGATTTTAAAATTTCTGCTAATTCTATCTTAAACAGTAGAGAACCACATGTAAGTATTACACAAGAAGTGAGAATTGAAGAGGAAATTGGAGGAAAGAAAACATCAACAACACCTGACCAGTTAAAGAGAATACAGTATGAAATACAACAGGAAGATAATGGGAAATAATGTGATGCCATTGTTACCTGTCATGTGTCCTCATAAAATCCCAGAACTTCTTTGTGCCATTCTGGGGGAAAAAAATTAAAAATCAATTCAATCAACTCCAACTGAAAAATTACTATAATGAAATTTAACAAAACTTGAGAGGCATTTCTTTGAAAACTTAGTATAGCTAGCTTTATTTATGAGGCCAGTACTCTGGATTTTGACAGTTAGTATTACAGACACTGGAGCTGTCTTAGGACAGTTCAAAATCTTAGACCCACAACAATATGATGACAGCTAGCAGACATTTATTGCAGCCTTCAGGCCCAGTTTTGGCCACAGTATCAACTTCAGCTGCCCAATCTAACTATTCACAGTGCCAGGAAGCCATAAACAGCTCTGTTTTAACCAGTAAAATAACCCACAGGTATGTTCTTCCATGTCCAGAAATGCTCTTACCTGGAGAACAGCTCAGCCCTTAGCTCCTAACTAAACCCATGTGGGACCCAGGAACAAGGCACCTTCCCTGTAAGCCCTTACAAGGACCAAAATAGGAGTTTCATCCACACCTAGCATGAAGGGGTCACACTCCACTCTGCACAGCAGCTGTTCCTCTGCACTGCTGGTGGAGCTGAGGGCTTGAAATCACAGCACTCACTCAAGAACTGGGAGACATAAAATGGCTGATTTTTCTCAAGATGGGCCAATTCCTGTCCTCTGCCAGCTTAAAAAAACCAATATCCACTACAGCACAACTGACAGTGATCTCTGAAAACAAGTGTTCCTCCACCATTATAATGAACACATATACCTTGCTTACATTTATATTATACCTTCTATGGTTACCTACAGCAATTCATACACATAACTTAATGGAGATGCATACAATTCTTTACTCTGTTTACTGGAAGTGTGATGGTGTTTTTCAGCTCAAACACAACTCAAGAGATTTCACTCCCAGGTCAGTTTTAAGTCTGTGTTAGGAATCAGTATGAAACCAGAGGAAATTCTTGTGGTTGATACCTTTTTCTTACAAGCAACACAAAAACGAGACCTGCTGAAGACCTACACACCTAAAATATGCTTAATGTGAAAAGCAGCACTTGACTTCTATTATAAAGTATGGTTAAATGGATGATCAAACCCTGAGCAACTGGTTAATGATTTAAAGCAGGTAAATGTGAGCAATGAGAGAAGAATCAAGTTCAGTTGGTGGGTAAAGGTGCCAACCAATATAGACAGGCCCTTCAGCTCTATTACAGATGTCATGGCTACCAAGTACACAACAGCTGGTGGGGATTAGATAACAAGCACTCTGGTTCAGAGATTAAGCCCCTGAGCTTCATGAGTTTACCAAGCTTTTTGGAAGAGGGACTGCTTGCTTGCTAGCTGGGTTTTCCTTCATTCCCACAACTCTAATTATAAACAGTTGTTCACCTCAAGAGAAACTCTAATCCATGCTTCCATTGGTGTGTGCACATACCTTCTGTTAGCACTGACAGGAATCCAACGTGTGCAGCACAGGAGAAGCCCTGTCATTGCTCAAATGCAATGTAATGTTGAAAGGAAAATAAAGACAGCAAATTCTTAGTGTGAACTGAAATATTAAAGGCATTGTTTCCAAATCTGAGTGTATATCCAATTCATTCCACCTGCTGAGAGACAGAGGAACATATTTGATAGGACTATGATACAATACACAGCTGCAACATGGGCTGTGTTGTATGGTAAGATAATTTAAGGTATTAAATGTGCAAGGTCAGCTCAATATTTCTGTAAGTTTATTTCTACCTGTAAGCAAGGTATTTGTGGGATTTGTTAGCAGATTGCTGAGCAATTTTCCATTTAACACAAAAGAACTGGAAAACTTTGTACCAAGGGTAATGTCTTCTGCATGTAACTCCATATTGTTTCTCTAGTCTCAACCTTCCCCTGCCCCAAATCCTAAATTGGTGCTACCATCATCCATTCTCCCTTTGTAGTGTCCACTTTGGAGAAATGTGGGTGTCCAGGTACTGGAGATGCCAAAAAAAAAAAAGCCTGAATCAACTCTCTCCCTGCATTAATTTAGGCTATTAGTCCTGTGATATTGCATTCTAACATACAATCCCACCAAAAATCTTCCCAGCTCTTTCCTCTTGCCATCATTTTGCAAATTATAGAACCTGATTGCTTTGAAGCACTTATGAGAGGGTTTCAAATAGCTGAGGAAAATTACACCCAAGAGAATCATCCTCATACAGATGGGATCCATCAGAACTGATTGACCTCTTCCCAGGGATGAGCTCTATTACCATTAACAGAGCCTACCTCACAGACATGCACATAATTTTTAGCAGAAAGTCAAAGAAGGAACTTAGTACATAAAAAGAAATTAATCAGAAAATAAAATCTGTATTTTCTATTTTCTAGGTCCAGGTAAAGCACTTTCTCCAGAACATGATTTGATTATTCTAAGACCCAAATTCAAAAACAGCCACAGACTAAATTATTTTGAGTCAAGACATTGGTTAATATCATATACTCTGACTGAACAATGCTTACTAAGCTATTTTCTGCCTATATTTGAATTATTTTTTTTTTCATATGATCAAGTTGCACCTGTCCAAATAAATAAATCAATAAACAAATGCAACATTCCAACATCTCTTTGTTTACAGTGGCAGAAACTCAAATGAGCCCCATTGTCGAAGTCAAATGTAATTTGAACCCAACGGAATGGAGTTGAGTTTCTATTGTACCCAATGCATGGTTCTTTCCTAACAGACTGCTAGGAAGGTTGCTAATTATTAATAGCATGTAAACAGTTACCAATGGTTCTTATGCTGCTTTACATACTTTACAGAACATTAATTCCAGCTAGTTTCTAACCAACTATATCAAGCTGCATGTAGTATCTCTATCTTGTCTTTGAGACAAAAACATTACTTGCTGAACTGATAAAAATTCATGCTTTTAAAAGCCAAGTGGCTATGATTACTTGTTAAACTGTTCAGCTCTATATATCCTGGTCTTTGACAAAGCTCTGCTATCACCACAGTTACAAACAGCTGCAATATTAAAGGTATCAGTGGTCAACATCATTCCTGAAAAAGAGAAGTATCTTTGTGAAACACAAAGGCTCTCTCAAACCCTTAACATTTTTCATTTTAATAAGCATATGTAATTACATTATTACAAGTAGTTCATTCTCCAATGTCCAATAAGGAACAATCACAGTATCTCTCAATGCAGTGAGAACTGAGTATAACTGATTGCCGGGAGATCTAAGCATTGATGACAGGAAGGAGAAAGAATTATTTTATGACATTTGAGAAATATTTAAAAAATTATGCTTCAAACAGGAAATGTGTCCTGTGATGTTTATAAAGATTAATATGTCAGAATTATTTTACATTAGTTTTAATCTGTTCAGAATAGCAGTTCTGATACTACAGCAACCTTGTGTAACACATAATCGATTTGGTAAATCTTTAATCACAAAGTAATCACACTCTAGTTCTGTGCTCAGTGATCAGGTTCTGTGATGTTGCAACACTCAACTAGTGCATATAGTATGTGTAAATTAATAAAGCTGTATTCCAGGAGAGGCAGCATGTGAGACAACCTCGTTTCACATTACACAGAAGACAGATCACTTACATAAGTACTAATTGCATAAGAAAGCCATACCAGGTCAGACGAGATGTCCATCTTGCCTGGCAACCTGTCTCTAAAATTTAAGAACAGAGAAAGCACACAGCAATGCTTCCCCAGAACACTCTTCAAGTCTGGCAAAAGGCACCAGAGGGTGGCAAAAGACAGTGCCTTAAAAAGGCACCCAAATTAAACTCACTCCTTCAACTCTAAAAAGAGAGCACAAGTAGCCATTTCAGTACTACCTGAATGCGCAAAGTGTGTCACAAGACCATATTGTCTGTAAGACTGACTTGGTAATGGCATTGGTAACTAAATCAGAATTAACAGCAGTTCACTCCCAGCTTGGCAGTCTGCACAAGGAGACTCACTGCCTTCTGCTTCAGGTGATCGCAGGACAACCAGGCACTGCCAAGTGCTCTCTGCTAGACAAGTGCTGACAGTGGCTGCAAGTTTAGCAGATGTGACTCCTACCTGTGCAGAGCTGTTTATATCACCCATACTTGATCTTCACATTGTCCTGCTACCATCCTTGAAATAATTTTCTTCAGACTCTTCCTGCACCAGCTCAGTGCCATAATTACAAGCAGGAGTCTCTTCACACTGTCTGTAATAGATAAGTTGGACTTGTCTGCAGCCTATCAAAATACCATTCTTTTTACCACATGCCCTCTAGCTAAAATGCTTTAAGAATCACTGTGCCAGGATATTGCTGTCCTTTGCTTTTGTCCACCACCTGAGGCAACAAAATATCTGAACAGCAAGGTCAAATCACTGCCAGAATGCCTAAAGGATTGCTAGAGGAACTTGTCTAAGACTTAACCCAGGCAGGCCAATAAAGGAGAGAAGAAGGATTTGCTGTGCAAATGATGTAGAAAGAAACATTCACTGGCACTGACTGTAGGGTGACACTGGGTATGCTCTACATGTGACAGACCCTGGACATGCTCTGACACAAGTCACTGGAAGTTTTTACTCTTCACTTAGGGCAGCTTCAATGCCTTCCTCCTTTTTTTCCCTGAGGGCAGTGCCCATGCACAGTCTGCCACCTGAGAAGAACCAGCGCTTGAAGCAGCTCTTACATGAGGTAAGGTGTCTGCACAGGTAGCAATACTCATCACTGTTAGACTGATCTGATATCATCCTGGGCTTTTAAAATACCCCCAACCCAAACAAACCAATCCCCTCAGTCTTGCTGTGGTGTACAGCCCTCTAGACATTCACAATTTCTCTGCAGATGCAGCTTTTTCAAATGGAAGGAATAAGTACTTGAACACAATTTTATAGAGACAGGTATAAGACTCTTCCTCAAGGATCATTCCAAGAATCGTCCCAAAGAATGAGATCCTTTTCACAAGTCATTTAATTAAATTAGAGCTGTGGTACTCCAGTTATAAGATGCTACTGAGTTTCAAGGTGAGGAAGAGAAAGGACAGGGATGCTGTA